TTTTGTCATTGACATCCCAGCACATGGATGAATTGCAAGGTTGTACTGAATATTCAAAGATCTGTCTGTCCTTTTCACCGTTCCTTTTCACTTTTCCCTCCAGTCCCATATTTTTGGTTATAAGCCAGGAGTGTTTGCATTAGTGGCATGCATGTGGCTGATAATATTATTTCTCTCCAAGATGATTTTTATATAATTAATCTTAACCTGTGTTCTCATTTGTGCTTTGACCTGCTGTAGTATAAGAATAAATGTTTAGCAATCACAGCAGTAGCTGGAGCAACAGAAACAAAAGTGAGGGCCAGAGTATTTGACCTTTTTTTTTTTTTTTTTTTTTTTTTGCGGTGTCATGGTGGTTGTGTTGTGAAAAATGTCTACATCCAGAAATCTGGGCTAACGAAAATTGCTTATGCGTGTGTGTGCAGAGTTTGCCTGAGGGACAGGACAAAGGGACCCCTATTTATTCCTAAAATGTGTTTAAACCCACTCAGATCAAGATAAGGTAAAGCTGTGTGTTTAAATTGTATAGACAGAATATTTATTACCACTTGTATACATGCTGTACTGTGTTCAGTGCCCTGAAAACCTGCTGCCCTAAAGAAGCATTAACATAAAAATCAATATGTGCAAGTATGTTCTGAGTATCAGCGCTACATAGTCTCTAAAGTAAAGATTCTCTCTTGCACAGTGAGTTTTGGTGTAGAGGTAAACAAACTGCACTCAAAGGGCCAGAGATGCTGATTTACACCAACTAAACATTTGGCTCTCACTCTGTCTGTTGAAAAGGATATTCATATAATTAATTCATGCAATATCAGTAGGTGAGGAGAATACTTTCTCTTTCCAGTTGCTTATTGAGAGAGGTCTTGGCCTGCCCCATGGCAGAAGATAACTCTTTTGAAGAGTCATTTGTGTTTAGGCTGGTTTTCTATGCTGGGATAGGAATATCTTCACTTAGGCCTCCGATTCCATTCAATGACACTAAACATATATAATTTAGGGTCCAGAATGCCAGGTAATGAATTTACAGTCAGACTTTTTTTTAAGTGTGTTTAAGTTAACAGGCTTTTGTAGCCAAAGTGGGTCCATTGAATATATGAACATATTGGTGGGATTCTGCTGAATCCATGAAGAGAGAGGGGAGCGTCTGAGTGGAGAATGAGGAATTAAGATCAATGAAACAAACGAACAAAAAAAATCTCATGTCAGAGGTAGGAAAAATGTTTCAAGAGATGGGTAAGACAGGAGGATATTGTCTGATAAATTCACTCTGGCTATGCCTATGCTACAGAGTTTCTTTTGGGAAAACAGCCGTTTTCCTGAAAAATCTTCACTTACGTCCACACTGCAACCGTGTTATTTTGACAACAAATCAAAAGAACAGAGAGGGTTTTCTGACATTGGTAAACCTCTTTCTCCGAGGAAGAAGCCTTTTTCCAAAAGAGCTCTTTCAGAAAAATGTGTATGTGGACGGGGCAGAGGAAGTTCTTTTGAAAGAAGAGGAAAAAGCACAGGTTCCCTGGTGACCACTCCATCCATAGTAATCACAACTTACATGTAAGATAGCATCCATTCAGTGTGGACGCTATCTTTCGAAAAAGCCGATTGCTTTTTCAATGTGCTTTGGCAGTGAAAAGCTTCTTCCGAAAGAAGCCTGAAGTCAGGATGTTGCCTCAGGTATCTGTTTTTTAAGTGGAAGACATTGTTCTTAAAGGGTACATGTATACTGTGTCTGAAAACTCATGACAGTCTGTTTCAGAGCCCAGGCCTACAGACTCAGGATAATACTACAGGACAAAGAACAGCTTATGTAGACATCCAGGCATGGGCTGGACCTTGGGCTTTGAAGCTTGGGCATGTTTTGGGGTTTGTTTGTTTTTTCCAGAACCTGAGTCCAAATGTCAACATAGCTGGCTTTAGTGCCATTGCATGAGTTCACATCTGAAGGCCCAGGCTGTGCTGGAATAAATTTTATAATAAGGGTGCTGAAAGCCACTGACCAAAAGCATAAACCCTGCATATGCTGGAAACCACTTCAAACTCAGGGGTAGTACTTAGGGTTGCCAGGTGTCCGGTATTGTTCTGGACAGTCTGTTATTTGAGTGCTCTATCCGGTAAAAAAAATCAGAAAATACTGGACATGTGCAATGTCTGGTATTTTCTGATTTTTTTCCAGCTGCACACCAGAAGGAAGCCTGGCGGGGGCAGAGAGAGCGGCAGAGAGTCCCAGCTGGGAGGCGGGGCCACGATTGCTGCCAGAAGCCCTCAATTGGTTGAGTGTGAGGAGGAGGGGAAGCCTCCTCCTCACTCATGCGTCACCGGGAGCCTGCGCGGGACAGGCAGCAAGTGCCCAGGTCAGTCCCGCTCCCCACCGGTCAATTTGCTCACCCCCCATTCACAGCTGGCTCCTGGTCTTCCCTGGGCAGCTCCCCTGTCCCCCGCTCCCCCCCCAGCTCTGCTTCCCACTGGCCTGTTCCTCTTCCTTGTCTCTCCCGGCCAGCCCCACTGCACTTCTCCCTGGCCCCGCCAGCTCTGCTTCCCGTTCCCCCTTCCTCCTGGCCAGCCCCACTCCCTTCCTTCCCGCCCAGCTGTGCTTCCAGCCCCCTTACTCACGGCCATCCCCACTCCCTTCCGGCCAGTTTCCCCCTCCCCCGCTATCCCATGGCCAGCCTCATTCCACCCGACCCCCCCCACCACCAACCCTGCTTCCTGTTGCCCCCCCATCCGGC